TTGACCTTGTTAATTATTGGCTTATTTATTCTGACTGCTTTTAGATGAGTATATGTGTGTGCACTTCTTATCCTACTCATCACTTGTCTGTAGCTTAACTTAATGGAGTTGGCTCATACGCCTTCTCCACTGCGCGTCATCCCGCTTTGCTCTCTTCTCTTCGTTTCTCTGATCTTTTGTCAGGATCAACGATTATATGAAATATGCGTATTCAAAATCCTTTCTCGTATTTGATTTATTTAATTTCTTTATTCACCAACGAGACTAAAGTCTATAACTATGCACGATCTGATTGGAGGAAGATTCAGGGCTACTAAAATATCCTTATGCACTGCGAATATATCATGCGATACGATCGCCAACTAGAACACCAACTTACTGACTAGACTAACGACGCATAAACCAGTACGAGCAGCCTGGAGTTAACTCTGAGTCTTATTGGTTCTCCAAGAAAATAGCTTCTCTCCTAACCCAGACAATGTATTCCAGTACACAAATAGCAGCCTCCATTATATAGATCATGTATTTCAGACATACTTGACTTTTATATAAACAAACAGAACTGCATCATACCCTAAAATAGAAAATAGCAATTATACATGATCAGGTCAAAAGTGGCTATGAATGTGAGGTACTGTAACTAATAATTCGAGAATAACTTAAGCATAGTAAATCGTATCGGAGTATTCCATAGGTAAAATGAAAGCTTACAATAAAGGGAATATAAATATGCATTTAATATAGTTACTTTATAGTCATACAATAAGAATATATAAATAGATCCTGAGAGTTACCATTCACTTATTTTTCACACAGACATAATATAAAGGTCAGGCATTTGCTCGATATTGAAGATCCTGGGTTCAAATGTCTCGTGGGGTATCGCAGATATTGCTATAGCCCAAAGCCGCCAATCAGAAGCAGCGAATTATCGATCGAACCAAGGACGCGTAAAACACGTGTGAGCAGCCTAGAGTTCTGATTGGTCCTGCTTTACGCCTAGACCAGCCAGTTAAGTCCCGAACACCAGTCTCAGCCTCTGTAATATGAATCCTTATATTTCAAACATACTGAGTTTATATACCAATCAAACAGACAACAACGTAGCATAAACTAGGAAATAACATTTGTACAAAATTTGGCCAAATGTGGCTGTGAATGTGGGAGGCAGTGTCTAATATACAAGATTGGTAAAACGTATAATAATGGTTTATAGGTCAAAATAAAGCTTATAACAAGATGAAGATGAATATGAATAGTTAAGTTATTTAACAATTAAACGATAAAAATATACGTTTAGTATTGGTTCATTAAAGGATCCCAAAGTTACCATTCATTATGTTTGTCGGGACTTAACAGATATACACTGTTAAGAATTTACATACTAGAACAAAATTGTTGTCCAATGCTTCTAGATTTTCAGTAGTAGTCTAACAGTGATCAATTCATGATCTTAACTAAAAATAAGAAAGAAAATTAAAAAAAAACAACCAATATCATGAAAATAATCATACATTCAAAACTATAGGAAGTTCACAAAAGCTTAAATAAAAATAAACTATAATAAATACTATAATCATTTCATTTACTTCTTATGATTGACCTCATTATATTATCACGATAGACTAACTAGAATAATTTGTCGATATAGTTCGATGTATAGTTCCATTTTATAAACTATACTATTATACTATCATATTATAATTTAACACATTATGCACCATTGAATTTTGAAATGTATATATTCTATAAGATTTCAAAATTCAAGTGAAATGACAATTTAACACAATGATATATTAGAACAATATATCAATGTATAAAATAAGTGAACTGTTTTACATATATTCTCTTGAGAATTCATAGTGAACAATGTTTTTTTTTGCAAAGAAGAAACTCAAGTATTTACGAGTACATTTAGGTTTAGTATGTAGTATAGAAATGAAAAGATAAAGGGAAAGAAGAATACGATAGTTTGTATTTTATATACATCAATTGCTTATGGTTTCTTAATTGTATTCTTGTAAAACAAAAAAATTTGTTGTTGATATTTTTGATAGAAATGGCATGAACTTTAAGTGTGTGTATGTGTATGTGTGTGTTTAGTGTGACTGTTAAAATTCTGTTTAAGTAAATTCGAAATGAGGATTAGTGTTATAAATCAAGTTAAACTGTAGTATACCGAAATGAATAGCCTCTTTTTTTTTATACAAAATTCTTTATATTTCAAGTAATTCAAATTATATCATCCTAGTTTAAGAGCATACAGTTTTCTTTAATTGGTAATTTAATATTAAGATCATTTCATGGCTAACTTTTAATCTTAGCCATTTTGGTAGAGGCAGACTACTTGGTTCAGATCAGCGTGACTATCGTAACCAATGGTTGGAGACTCAGGGTGACATAGCTCAGAATCGATCACAATAGTATAAGTGTATACACTTATTGTCTTCTCTTAAACCGTGAGATTAAAATTGCTTTATATCTTTTTTTCTACAAACTAATTCTTTCTTTCCGTACTATATCCTTATATGCAATCTATTTTTATATATTATTGCCATTGAATTAACTACCTCCATGAATTTTATATTCATCTTGTTGTGCTAATGGGGTGTAGCAACTTAGACTGATGCATACATGTGCGTGGTTCTACGTTGTAGCTGACTGACTGACTCATTAATTTACAGTTTAGTTGTCATTGGTTTGACTTGCACAACGATACTTTAATTAAAACCAACTATTTGTACATTCATTTTTGGAATTCTTGATGAAACCAATATCTTTGCACTAATTACTATGAATTTTTTGATGGAGTTTCGTTCTATAAGCTAGTTTGATGATGGAGCTTTCATCGTATTTCCATCATAATCATCCACTTGAGCTATAAATCTTCCCCACTATATCAAAATGTTATGAATTTTATATTATGATAATCAAAATATTCAAGCAATTATATCAACAAATATTATGTAATTATATACATAGAATCCTTTTAATATACATTAACATCTTGATGTTTAATACGACCCACCTAATTGAGTAATGTAACTAATTTTTTTATTTTTCAGATAGCCTAAAGTATAGTTTTTGGCCAACGAAAAATGTATTAGAATGCCTTTCATCTTTAATTCATATTTTATTCAAAAATGTAAGTGTAATAAGTTTGTTGATTATACACAGAGAATTTTCCAGCACAAACCATGTACTAGCTTTGATAGAATGTTTCAAACATATCTGTGATGCTAAAATAATCTTTAATAACTTATAACTAATGTTCATTTCGTGCGACTGTATTCCTGAATTGATACTACTTAAAAAGTACAATCAAGTTATTCCTTAAGTTCTACAATAACTTTAATTAGGAATAACTGACATGGCTGTTTGGGTGATATTCAGTTCTTGAAATGAATTAAACTTCTTTAAGGACTTTAAAATAATGCTTTATTATTATTTGAAACTATAACTATCAAAGTGGTTTTCAGAAATTATACAATAAAGGGAAATGTATTTTATTTAGTTATTGTGAATAAACTTCGGCAAGTTAGATGGTATGAAACTAATCTTTTTCAAAATTATCAAGAATCATTTAATATGACCAACTGAAGTTAATCTACTGTAAGCAGTTGAACAGATAATAGTTAAGATGAGGCTAAAACTGAGTTTCTGTACACTTCTTGACCGATAATAAAGATGGATAGTGGCTAGCAGTGGAATACAAGACGCGCGTTTCATCCTATCTGGGACTCGTTAGACGAATATACCTGCATCTCAGAGTTGATTTTCACCCTGGGACTTGAACCCAATACCGTTCGCTTCAAACTCCATCGTTATACACTTAACTACTGATTCCTGATAGGCATTAGTTTGTACAATAGGATTACGTTTAAATTCACTCGGTATTGCTTACTTAAATCATACCATTGATGTTTGGGACTACAATTGATCAGTCACTTATTGGCATATGTGCATACTGTGCGTATTGCCGCAATATTACCTGGGTTCGAGTCCCAAAGTGAACATCAACTCTGAGATACAGGTAAATACAGCTCGCGAGTCTTAAACAGGAAGAAACGTGCGTCCTGGATTCCACTGCTAGTCAATGTCCATTTTTGCATATAATACTTGTGAATTAGGGCTATATCGGGGCAATACGCACAGTATGTACATATGTCAATAAGAGACTGATCAATTGCATTCCTAAACATCAATGGGAAGATTCAAGTATACAATACTAAGTGAATCCTTGATCGACAGTTTCCTTCCCGCACTTGTTTTACTCATCTCGTTAGAATACAATATACTGATTGACAAATGCATGTGTATGATTTTTGTACAGTTATACATTGCTTATTATTGTTTATCCATATTGTTTTGCCAAAAATTGGAAAATTGAAATAGTCTATCTAGTATACTAAGTATCTACCCTTCTATCAAACTCTAACTGACGATTTTGCATAGTTTCAGTTTTATTACTTCCCTGTATTAATCCAGTCTTTTTATTACAGTACATTTCTACACCACTTCACATTTCATAACATATATAATTATCGAGTTTAAATTAATATTATGAATGAATCAATGTTAAACCATCATTGAAAACCTGAAAACACTAGACGTCCATTTCGTTCTTGTATGGATGCATACTTCTGAGGAGAATCAAACTATGACGAAACAGTCGTCTAGTTCTTCCAGGTTCTCAATAGTAGACAAACACTGATCCATTCATAATATCAATTGAAATTCAACAATCTCTACAACCTTATGTTGATATAATTATCGCTTTTTATATTGTTTCATAGTTACATATATTCGAGTCCCGCGGGGTACGAGATCGTGGATGTTATTAGGAGTCCCATACTAGGACGGAACGTCCATCCAGTTCTTCCAGGTTTTCCATGGTGGTCTAGCTTCAAATGACTCATGATTCCAACCTGTGATATATTCATTTGTTTAAATCGTATCTTCTAAGATTTCATTAAACAGTACTTATTAGAATATATTTTGTATGAATAATTTACTTTATTCCTAATGATGAAAGAATAGCTGTAATGTATACAATAGATTGAAATATCGTTAAAAAACATTACACTATAAAAGATTTAAATAAATCCATCCTAATGAATCTTTCTATACTTCATTAAAACAATGAACAGTTTCAAAAAAACAAAAAAAATTATGAATTACAAATGAAGACAATACAAAAATGAATAAAAACAAATACATAGAAAAGAATTATTCACAAATGAAAATTTTAGGCGGGAATTTTTTACATTCAAATTAAATTGTACAAAAAAAGGAGTTTCATTTCAATAATAACGATGTAACACATTATAAAAGTATCAATAATTTTATTAATGAATTATCATTAGAGTTGTTGTTATGATTCACTGACGTTGAGGATTCTTTTAAACAGTCATTGTTAGTTAGTCAGCTAGTTACTTAGTTAGTTATAATTTATCATTTGAATATATGAATTGAAATTATTGAATTATTAGTTATTGTTCGAATACAAAAGTATAATGTACATTTTAAACTGTTTTATTTGTTTAAAGTATTCAGTTTTCCATTGGCTATGGGTTGTTTTATTGATTGTTGAACATTTTCTATATTAAGATCTCCATCATCACCAATATAATCATCATAAGATGTTGATACAACAGGTTCAGTTGGACAGAATTCTGGTGGAGGTCTACCATCATATCCTTCATATCCATATTCTAATACTTGATCTAATCTTATTGCAGGATTTGGTTGACGATCAAATGACTCCCATGGTGGTATATCTGTAGTTTTTTGTCCATAGGCTCGAGCAGTAACACTAGGAAATGTTTGTATATCTATACTTCCATTTGTGTCTGCAAAATAAATCGTAAAATAATTCAACATGTTATTTTATTATAAATAATAAACTGTTCAATTAAGCTTCATTTGTTGAAAATATAATATGTTCATCATTATAAATGACCTACATTCAACCTAAGATAAGTTGAGGGAAACAATTTTTTTTTAAAAACAAAGTAATAACAATGTATACCATTGTGATACTTCTGATTTTGGTGAATAAATATTTCATATGATTCGCAACGTGGAACGTCCTACGTCTGTTTGATAAATTCATTATATATTACTGAATACTCGTTTACATTTTCACCCGAATCTTTCCTACAATCACGTATACTATTGTATTTCGCGTATAAATATTTGCATCAAATCATGAAATATTGGTAAACAAACATGTCTAATGGGTTTACAAATTTATATAGATATGATTAATTGATCCAACTAAAGATTATACAACTTTCATTTTATATTTTGAAATTAATGAGTAAAAACACTGAAATACAGTAATTTGCTAAGTTACGAAACTTCATGAAACACTACGTAAACGCTACTGTACTAGTAGATTTCAATCGGGTATGTTGTGAGATAGTAACTCACTGATGACAATGGTGGACGACGGCGCAACTTCGTGGATTAGTTGAAGTTAGACATTAACACCATTGGATGCCAGACCAGTGGTCTGGTGATTGAGCGTTCACACACGAGACCGGTAGGTCCTGGGTTCGAATCACGAAAAGCGGAATTGTGGATGCGCACTCTTGAGAATTCCCATACTAGGACGAAATGGCCTTTCAGTGCTTCCAGGTTTTCCATGGTGATCTAGCTTCGACTGACTCACGAATTCAACTATTAAATTACTACTCTATTTGAAATTTTAACAAAATTCAGATTTACTATTCAATATCAATTTGAAAAATGCATTTGAATTAGCTTTATTTTATATTTCTACCATTCACAACACACGATATCTGATTTAACAATTTCGGTAATTTAATAATTTTATTTTTAAAGTCAGCTCTTCAACATTCATTGAAAAATCGTTGTGTCTTTCATTATAAACAAACAGTGATTGCTAAAAAATGCTTGAGTTAAAACGACTATATACAGAACTAAAGGGAAGTTTAAGTAGTTGAATTCATGAGTCGATCTCAACTAGACCACCATTGAAAACCTGTAAGCACTGGATGGTCGTTTTGTCCCAGTGTGGAGCTCCTCAACAGTGATCATCCGCGATCCCGCACACAGGACTCAAACCCAAGATCTTCGGTCTTGCGCGCGGCCGCTTGACCTCTAGACCACTGAGCCGGTATCCAACGGTGTTAATGTCTACTTCCAATCAATCCGTGATCGTGCACAATACTTCATTCATTGTCTGAGTTGGATAATTGTCTCCAGCCGACACAGATTGGACTCTACTGAGAAACATAAACTCACGTCGATTAAGGTTATTCATTTTGAAAGCCTATTCATGTAAATTTGAATTAAAATATTGTGATACACTCTCTATGTTGTTTATTTACCTGATTTTCTACTTGTTGGTAAGTAACCATTACTCTGATAGGACCCATTAGTTGTAAGTTGATACGGGTTAGAATTAATATTTCCTTTTAACACCGAATAATCAATCGGTCCATGGAAATCTTTCTCACCTTAAATGCATTTAGAATTATAAACAATGAAAGTACAATGAAACAATAAATATAAAAGAAAAATTTGTAGAATTTTTATTGGAACTCATTTGACTAAAGATTAAATAGGTGCTACTCAATACCTTTTAAGAAACGTTTTCAACGAATTCATGTTATAATAGTTACTTTATTTAAATAAGAAAGTGTTGTTATTTATAATCGAACATTTAACTGATGGTAACAGCAAATATTTAAACTCCGTTTCCGTTATCTAACATTGATGCCAACTTGATAAATTTCAAATGGTTGTTAATCATAGCTCCGTTTGACCGGATTTTTTTATTCATAACCATCTTGATTACAAGTTAACTGCCTAAGAAATCACATTAATCTTCTACAAATGCAGGAAGTAAATGTCTCCGTCACGAGAAAAGGTTTGAATAAGAGTGATTATTGAACAACATTCGACGTCAGTCGGACATAAATCAAGTTGAAAAACGGATAGGTTAATTTAATTCACTATAGTCATGTCATTATTAATAGATCTGATAATCACTGTCTAAATGCAAATGACTGGAATGTAATATGTTTAAAAAACTGGTTGCATATATCTTGACTGTTTTCATTCACCGTCTTTAAGTTTTTACTTTAAACTATTTCAGAACATAACTTCAGTTCTCAAATATTGGTTAGTTGGATCGCCCATTGATGTTCAGATCTACAATCGATCAGTCTTTTTCGGCATATATGTATGAAACTGATCAACTGTAGTCCTAAACATCAGTGGTAAGATTCACACGATCATTACGTATGAATTGATATCGAGATCGCTCTCACTTTATAGTCAGGTGATTATCAAGACTTAGTAGCTATGTGAATAACACAGCGGTGTTTGAAGCGAAAGGTAGTCTATTCAAGTCCTAGAGTGAACACCAACTCGGATCCAAGTACATCCAACTGGCGAGTTCCAAGCAAGATAAAACACGCGTCTTAAATTCCACTGTTAGCCATCATCCTTCTTTGCTTAAAATATTTTAAAACTTCTATCTCATGGTTTTATTTGTCATGTTAAAACTATATTCACTTATTTTCATTCGTTTCATATTACGATTGGGTTTTTTAACTGTACAAATCAACATAAAGTGTGTTATCCGGTTCCGATGCACATTTATTCAGGGTTTCATAGCTTCTATGACTATCGAAAATTAATCATCAAAAGCTTGACAAAAAAATATTTAAACTGTAACCATTATACAAAGAATATTCCAAAAATTGTACTGATCAAAAAACAAACTTTTTCAGCGTATTTACAGGAGTTCGCTACAAAATAATGTTACCAAAAAATAAATTCTGAAAACAAAAACTTATAAATATATTACCTGTACTCCATGGATCATTCATTTGAGTATCTATACCCAACTTTTGATCACTCAGTTCATTGTTAAAATCAATTAAATTAGATTTCTTCTTCTCACGACGTTTGCGACAACAGATAATTAAAAAAATTGTTGCCAACACTAAATGAATTAAGAATAAATAAAAAAAATAATATGATGATTTTTGTACTAGAGATTATAACAACTCTCCTAAAAATTAATTTCCATCATAGTTAAATTTTGCTTGAACCCTTTTATTAACTTACTTAACAAACAATGTTATTCATATAGTAACAATTTGCATATTTCCTTGTACTATTATGATCACTATCTTGTCCGTATCAACGTGTACGCTTGATAACATATGACAGCATACTCACATATCTCTAGCTTAAATGTAAAAATCGCTCTTTTCCATGTATATATGTACTCGAATACAATTATTAGCCCTTACCTTGCCTAGCTGCACCTTATTCGATTTGACTATAAATCTACCTCTGTATTCTCTTCCAAACACACATTCACCTATCTACTTCAATTTCGCTTTATATGCTTATAACTATGTTATCTGTACTATCCGTAAATAAACTATAGTTGCTGCTTCTTATTGCCTTCTGATTTTAAACACTGTTGAGATTTATAATGATAACAGTTACCAAGTTGATTGATTAACAAAGTAAAACCACTACAGAATAATTTTTTCAGATATACTTTTATGCATCTGATATAAGTTTATTATTTGGATTTTTTTAATATATCAGTTGAGAAACCACTTCAAACACATATGCCAATAACAGACTGATCAATTGCAGTCTTAAACCTCAATAGGAAGATACAAGACAAACAATACCAAGTCAATTAAACTCCTTAGATTATTATATCTAAATATATATATAACTTATAAACTACATTTTTTTTAAAAAAGGTATAGGATATTTCCACATAATCACCTTGGTTACTTAATCATATTTTCTATAAATTCTTAATCAATTATAAACTTATTACAAGCTTAATTAATTTTTGAACAGATTTACAAATATGACTCGAAAAATAAAATAAAAAAAAAATCTAGTTAATAAATATAAACTGTAATTCCTTTTAACCTTAGTTAAGAAGAAAAAAAAAGAATTCCCGTACAGAATAAGTAACATTCATCATAATGTAAAGAATCATTTATATCATCTTACTATTATTCCATAAATCAAAAATATCATGACTTTTGTGTGTATGTGTGTGTTTGTTTGTTTGTTACGAATTTCAAAAGACTTATGAATAAGTAATTCTTATGAATTCTGCCGAAGAAGTTTAAACAGCATATGCAAATGAATTTAATATTATAGAATAAAAGAATCATAAAGGGTCTACTATTAATGTTTTAAGATTTTATGACAATCTTTTTGTCTAGGTGGCGTGATTACGTATTATATATATATATATATATGTCGGATAGATTTAAGCAGTTCACAAGTACCGACGTAAATACATGTTTGATTAAAGAAAAAAATACTTCGTGACTCACATATCGCTAACAGTAGTAGAACAACAAGTAGAATCCACCACCAACTTAGACCAGCTATATTTACGCTTGAAACTTGGTTACATAATGGTCCAGTCCAGATTCCATAACAAATACATGTAAAATTACTAGCACCATTAAGTACATGACACTCACCATTAACACATGGGTTTGGATAACATTGTGATGGAACACATTTACCCTTGTCATCTTTAACTGTGTTATTCAAGCATCTAGGAAAAAAAATTTTGAAATTTCATCAATGGAATCATTTTTTTTTCATTAATTCATCATTAGTAAACTTAGTACCACTTCTGTTTTGTACTGTTAAACGAAAAAGTAACGTTCCGAATACAAGCGCATTAAAATGTTATAATTACAAATTTGTTATGTAATTCAATGTTTAAAAACAAAATTAATGTTTTAATGAAACTCAACATTTGATTATTGATGAAATTCCGTGTTTTATTAATTAACTTTATTGATTATGGTATAATGAGTTGATACAAGCAAGTTACTTAGTTGAATATACTTTTAGAAATGTTTACTTATCCCATTTCGGTACTGAAACTACTGTACTTGATTGTATTATTGTAATTATCATATTAGCTGAGTCCGATCGATGAAAAAGATAGAAAAATGTTTCAAATCATTAATGGTTGCGAATTTTTTCACTGCAGCCAACTGATATGCGGATATATATTCAGCTACATAATCATACATTACGGCTATTATGAAGGTAAAAACAAATCATCTTGTTCCTCTTTTAAGGCTACTCTGAATGATTGAATTTTCAAATCATTTCACAGTGTATCATTATCAGATTAATTGTACCTCATTAGTCTTAAACATCTGACTATAGTTATCGAAAGTTTATGTCAATAATTGTATTAACCTAACATCACCGTATACCAGTAAAGCAATTGAGAGTTATCAAATGAAATTACAACTAAGACATTTATCATAACACTGAAAAACGTATTTAAATCATATTCCATAAGTGAAAGTAAACTCGGAATAGTAAAAGCCCATGAAATTTACAAATTATAGGTATGAAAATTCCATTCATATAAATAGTATATTTTCAACGTATTCTTAAACGAATTCTAAATTTACCAAAGAAAGATGGTTAATTTTTAAAAACGACAGTTTTGTTATAGCAGTGCACTTAATTGGACATATACAATTAATTAGCTTAAAAATAATAACTGACATCACCTAGAAACTTACTCGCATCGATAACTTCTCCATTCCTCTATACAAGAAGCGGTAATATCACAAAGACTTTTTGAACTATTACAAAACCCAGGACCACTTGAACAACCTGACTGTCTGCCAACTGTACCCCAGTCTGTATACCGTTGAAATGATGGGTTACTAATGATTTCCAATGGATAATCTTGTTCAAAATCAGGCCATATATTACGGAAATCGATCCAAGCATCATCTAGACATGCTATAAATAGATAAAGGATAATAAACGATTCACTATAAACTAATGAGTGATTTCCGATCGTTTTGTAGGTATGCAGTAAAATACAACTTAATTTCTTTTGTGCCAGATGAGTACGAAGTAGGGAACTAGCGCGACAGTGCGCGGAAAACAATTATTAACAATCAATATTGATATCGAACATTTATGGTGACAGTCTGATTCTTAGTTTAAAGCACACACTCCCTTTAGTTAAAAGATAGATAGAAACTGGAATGCCCAAAGAAGCTGTTTTGTTTTATTGCATTACCTCTCGGCAGTAAACATCTACAACACTGACAGAGATTGAATCCAAAACATTCAGGTGTTCGGATTGAGCGTTTTCTATGAAACTTGGAGATTTGTACGTCAATGTCATGTGAATTTATGAGTTCAATTTTCTGAGGCGTTAAATACCAGAGTAAAGTAGGTGTCCAGTACTTTCTGGCTTTCGACGATTGTCTAGTTACATTCAATCTATAATGTAATGACAATCAATTTGAATTCACAGGCCTGTGGTATAATTTGTTATGCTATTCAAAGAAGCTGCTGTTTTAGTCCTCTTAATACGTAACTTACCAAAGATCAAAACAAATTAACTCGTAACATATACGACTGAAATTTATTCAGACAAGCAAATTTGGTCATAATTACTTAAATGAATAATCATGGCAATCTCTTATCATAATAAATGGTTATGAATAATTGTTGATCTTGAGATATATTGTTGATAGATATAGTGTAAATTGGGGAATGAAATGACAATAGTTGGGTAATTTTATTGTGAAGATATCTTACCTTTCAATATTAAACTGCTAAACTTAATAGATTTGGGAAATCATTTGGTTTTTTCTAAGCTGACGTCATGTAGTTCACACAATAGGTATTGCTGACTAAACTGTTAAAGGGTCAAATTAAATTATAAGTGACCACTGAGTCACTAAATCAACACTTAACTTTCCATAACTTTCTACATAAAGTCAAGTTAACACCCTTAGGTTGATAATTGTATTACATAACGAGTTATCAAATCTAACGCTTAGTGAAAAGTTTTAAATTAATTACAGTGGTTTTCTCACCGTGGTATTTTGTTTAAAAAACTTTCTGATACCTCGAAACTATACGTCCTTAAATTCCTACCACCAACTATGCAACCAACATTCATTTCATCAAGTTTTGTATATCTTGTAAACTAATACGTCCTTACAGATCACAAATACGCATCAATTAGTTTATGAAAAACGTTTATGAAACTTACTGTCTTTAGCTCCGTTTGCAATAATTATATCAACTGAACCTCTTGAAATTGATTTCTCTGGAAAATATCTTGAATCATAATATATTTTATCTAGTTCATCGACCTGAAAATCTAAAAATCTTTTGAAAGAAAAAATGTTTTAAGTCTTGATAAAGGTCATTGGTTGCTAATTGAATCAAAATAAATATCCGTTAAACAGTGATTCTACAAAAGGTTTAATATTCATTCAGTATTTTTAAGTAAAAAACTAGAAATATCTGTCATTAGCTTACCAACTATTCATACTACTAAATAAGAACTTTCGTCTAAATTTGAACGAATAGTTTCACAATATTTGGGCGCCGAGTTAATTTGAGACATTAAAAAGAAGAATATAATTGTAAAAATCTCAGCGAATGAATTTGAAGTAAATCCAACGTTTCGCCTGTCAATCTGGTCCAAGCCTTTTCAAGATATTTTCCTTGAAAAAAGCTTGGACCAGATTGCCAGGCGAAACGTTGGATTTACTTCAAATTCATTCGCTGAGATTTTTACAATTATATTCTTATTCATAATACTATTTGTTTGGAAGCATTTTTATTGTAGACTATTCAGTAAACCTTAAAGTTATCGCTTAACTTCTTGACATTTCTGACTGTGAACACATAAGTATTAAAACATGACGAGTATTTTGAACAACTAATAAATATCAACTTCTATCTCATGAATAAATCATTGAAACATTCAAACTAATAGAATATAATAAATATTTATTGCTACCACAATTGATTGATCACTGGGTGGCGATCAATGTCATGCGTGTCTAGTCCTTATTAGTGCAGATCAAATGCTATCGATCATATTGCAATGTAGCCATCAGTCTAGGTGACTCGACACTGCGTGCACTATATATTGAGATTAGATAGTGGTTGGAGGTAGTCGACAGGAAACCCTGGACCCGGGTTTCGTGCTACTTGGCACTCGTCAGCAAGTTGTACCTGTAATCTTGAGGAAACTGGTGCTCCCTGGAGGATTCGATCTCGTGTCACTCAGCTTCGCAGTCACAGACGTTACCACTGAGCTATCCGAGCTGCGACCGACCTCCTGTGATCAATCAATTGTGATTACATCTCAGTCCTACAGGAGGTTAGTCACGGCTCGGATAGCTCAGTGGTAACGTCTGTGACTGTGAAGCTGAGTGACACGAGATCGAATCCTCCAGGGAGCACCAGTTCCCTCAAGATTACAGGTGCACCTTGCTGACGAGTGCCAAGTAGCACGAAATCTGGGTCCAGGGTTTCCTGTCGACTACCTCCAACCACTATCTAATCTCAATATATAGTGCACGCAGTGTCGAGTCACCTAGACTGGTGGCCACATTGCAACATGATCGATAGCATTCGATCTGCACTAATAAGGACTAGACACGCATGACATTGATCACCACCCAGTGATCAATCAATTGTGATTACATCTCAGTCCTACAGGAGGTTAGTCACGGCTCGGATAGCTCAGTGGTAACGTGTCTGACTGTGAAGCTGGCTGACACGGGATCGAGTCGGCCAGGGAGCACCAGTTCCCTCAAGATTACAGGTGCACCTTGCTGACGAGTGCTAAGTAGTACGAAATCTGGGTCTAGGGTTTTCTGTCGACTACCTCCAACCACCATCTAATTTGTTACTACCATAACTTGCAAATAGTTTATGTTTACTTCAAAGTTTTAACATCCTTAAATTCTTGGAAACTTGACTAGTAAGAATTAATGAATTACATTATTTGTTTAACAACTAAACGAATCTAATTGCACAAGTATGTGAAAAAGTTATTACAGATTATCATTATTATTAGTAGTATTATTATTACAACAATGAATACTCTATATCATTTATTATGATGGTAGTAGAAGCTTTTAAGTCTTCCCGTTGTACAATATACTAAATTCCATGAATATCTGTTTGTTTGTTCTTTTTGTTTTTTTAAATATCTTATTGTTCAAATCTTCCATAATAAATCAAGAAGCTTTATATCGATTCTGTGTCTTTATTACGAAAACTTTATTTATTATAGATTTGAGAATATTCTTAGTTTAGAGAAAACTCTTTGAAAAAGGCCGATGACTTTCTGATACTTTATTACCGCAACTTTTAATAACATATGTTTCTCAGAAAAATCAATAATTTCGCATGACATTTTCTCTAGATTAATCATGATATTATACATAACTAGATTTCGAAATAAAGAATGTTTAAGTGAACAATTATTTGAAATAACTTTGTTATCAGGCTTTACAGTTATGAGTCCATAAATATTGTGTTATTTTACAAAGACCTCCTGTAGAGTTAGTTAGATTGATCATACGCCGAAAGCTTTATCCTTGTGTACTTGTGAACATGTACCACCATAGTCGCAAATGGAAGTTACCAGGTATATTAACAGCCCCATCCGTTCTCAGTTGATAGACAGTGGGCATTATATTAAAATAAATGAAGCCTTCTCTGTTTGATATCAAGTTCCAGGTAATATATCTAAAGGAGCTAGATTACAATTCTTTTACACAGTCTGGATTACCTCCAAATACCTCAACTTATGTGTCGAAAAGAGGTATGTTAAACCTTGGTCCATAACTGGATGACTAGGCATCTAAACTGGATACTATAAACCTCTCATTCTCTCGATCTTTTCTGCATTTATACCATTCTCAGTCTACACATTCATCTTTTCCAATTCACACGAATCCTTATCATGAATACCTTGATGGTATCTCTCTTAATACATATTATATTTACACAAAATTACCAAGACAAAGTTCTCTTACTTCGCATTATATTAACCTTATTTTATTACTATTATACTGGTTAAAAAATAGACACATTGTGACGAATCATTCTGACCTTCAATAAACAACCTTCCTAATATACAAGTGACACATTTTTCAAGTATTTATGACGTAACGGATGTGAAAAATCACCATTTTAACATATAACGTTATAATCATGAACCGATCAATGTTAGATTACCATTGAAAACCTGGATACAGCGGACGGCCGTTTTTCCCTAGTACGAGACTCCTTAGTAGTGAGCATCCACGATCTCGCAAGCATGACTTAAACCCATGACCATTAGTCGATTCATTATCTGAATTATCTACAACAATTTCCATGGTTTTATACTGAATATAACATTGTTTAATTTACTAGCATGACTTATTTCGGCCTTTGTAAAAAATGGCACATTAATTATGGACTTATAACTGTAGAGTCTAATGACTAAGTTATTGTAAACAATTGACCGTTCAGATATTCTTTGTTCCTGAAAACTCTATAAAGATTTCTAAAATGATAAAACTGATATCATATTACCAAATGAATATACTGACTGAAATACTTGTTTACTTATAAATTAAAACTTATATTCTAACCTGTCAAACGGTACTATTTCATCATGTATAAAAGTAATAATAGGAAACATTCAATGTTTTATCTTTAAACATTTTCTCAATAAAATTAATTTACTCACCTTGATGTAAATGTAACTTCAAAGACATGCCAATTTCCATCCGAAATGTTTAGTGAACTTAACGTAATTACGATATTATCAAAACGTAGTTCAGGTATTCCATTTGAAACCTGATCATTTTAGATAATAAGCAAAAAATATTTCCGTAAGTAACAAGATTAAATAATTCATGTTCACACATGTGAGAAATAGATCTGTTTTGAGGGTATTTTTTTAACGAATAATCTTCGTGAAAAAATATTATGACATGATTATATCCGTTTATGATTTGTAGGAATGTGAATAGTCTCTTGTTGGCATACGTGCATCCCGTGCGGATTCCCTCGATATAACCTTAGGTCGTAAGCTTTTTTTATGCAAAGAGAATGATCAATTGCATTTCTAAATAACAATAGGAAGATACTGGTAAAACAACACTAAGTGAATTTAAACTTCACCCCATTGCATAAGCAGGTGACTTTCAGGACTCAGTAGTTAAGTGGGTAGTGCGATGGCGTCCAAAGCGAACGGTAATGGGTTCAAGTCCTGGAGTGAACATCAGTTCTGAGATACGGGTAGATCTAGCTGACGATCTCTAAATAGGACGAAACGCGCGTCCTGTATTCCACTGTCAGCCACTATCTATCTTTGTCTAAATCTACATAGTTTAGATACGAACTCGTCTGTTATTCTTCATCAATAACATATCATTCACACATAATGTAATTCTTTAACTGACAAACTGGAATCCTGAGAAAAAAATGTATAAGTCGTAATATAATAGAATAATTTCAAACAAATTTAACTATTGAAAATATTCAGTAGCTCGTACTAACAATTATGCTTGCAAATTAACCAATAGATATTCATAGGTAGAAACGAAAAACTCGATTTTTTAGTTTCATTTTATTTCTTTCTATCTAAACACTTGCAATACGAAATAACTTATATAATAAATCAACATCTTTACTAATACTGAGTTAATATTATGTCATTAAGCTTTCTTACATTAATTTCATACCTTAATAAGTTATAATTCGGTTGATCAACAACTTACTAATAGAATAACGTTTGGTACTTCTAATATTTATTTATCAATCTATATTATGTAGATTATGCATAAAAAATGAAGTAAGATAATCTAATGTAGCACACATTTCTAATGGAATACTCATAAATACTTATCGAATTATATTAATGCTTTCGTGTTATAAGCACTTTAGTAAGAAATGTTCTAAAAACAGAATTGAATACAATGAATCAATCAGTAGAACAATTTCATATTACTTATATGGTCTTAATTGATGATTCACAATATATACAGTATAAAAAATAGTAAATGATTTGTAAACATTTCATCTTAGATGACTGTGTTATGAAGTAGGAAAAAATTGTGTAAAATTTCAAAATACCATTTTACTCATTTGACAAATTTAAAAATATTACAATAGAAGTAAACTTTTAAATTGTACAATTTCATGAATTGGTTGAAGTTAGACATTAACATCATTGGATACCAGCTCAGTAGTCTAGGGGTTGAGCGTTCGCCCGCGAGACTGATAGATCCTGGGTTCGAATCCGGCGAGGCGAGGTCGTGGATTCATAGTGTTAAGAAGTCTCATACTAGGATGAAACGGCCGTCCAGTGCTCTCAGGTTTTCCATGATGATCTAACTTTAATTGACTCATGAATTCAACTATTATATTTTTAAATGACAATATCAGTGAGTCAGGCACGTGGACAACTGCGGACACTCATTTGACTGGAAAAATGTGGAAATCTTGGATAGAGAAAATTCCAAAAACACCAGAGCATTTTTAGAAGCTCAGCACTCATGTCAATGAGCAATCAACAAGCATATTAAAATTGATACAATTTATCAATCAATCGGGGAAATTATTCACAAACATAGGAACAAAAATCAAACCAATGGGAGATACAACCAAAACAAAGAAGTAAATAATGACAAGTTTAAAGTCAACAAGAACCAATCAACACCGAGGTTTACAGGACAAGCTGTGAACCATATATGAAGAAATTCGAACGCTTCACTTCCATCTAAAGTTTGTACTGATGATGTCGTTCAGAAGAACAATAAAAGCCCCACGACTAAACCATCCAGCTCAGAGAGTAAAGCCAGGCACATATATGCATCGGTCCAACTTGTTACACTTCATTAGCACAACAAGATAAACATAAACTCCATAAAACCAATTATTTCAATAGTAGTAATATATATAAAAGAAAGATTATGTATAACGCTATAATACAAGAAGAACCAATTAGTTTATAGAAAGAAAAATTTATAAAGCAATTTTATTCTCACGGTTTAAGGGAAGACAATAAGTATGTATACACTTACACTATTGTGACCGATTCTAAACCATGTCACCCAATATAACACTATAAAATTATTTTAAACATTAACCAAAAAGTTCTCACCAATCAACATGGTTACTATATAAATATAAATTTATTTCTTTAAAAGTATTTTACATTTAACTACAAATAACTAAATAATACTTGTTTATATATTTTAGTTACATTCAAATAAAAAAAAGAAAAAAAAGAAAAAGAAAAGTGTTACATTTCATGTCATTGTTCTTCTGTTACTGACATTTTTAAGAAAACTTAATACTTCAACGAAGTTAACTGTAACGTAAATTAATATGACATGACACTTGTGTTTGTTTCCATTTTTCTGTTAAAGTTATTATTGCATTGTTTTTTTCTATTTTTAATATTGATCAATATTTCTATGATATAATCAACATATTGATGTTTAAAAAAAAAAAGATGAGACAAGAAAAAGAAAAGCATCCAATTCAAATAGTTTAGAAGAACAAAAAATTTAAAAAAAATTCTTTTCTCTTTCAATAACAAGGGGGAATGAAAATAGAACAAGAGAAATGTTTTACAATTTTAGTTCAATGGTTATACATAGTTACTTAACGGTACGTTGAATATGTATATTTTGAATAGTGACAGATAAATAAAATGCACATTTTTGAAATATAAATGAATATGAATTAAGTTTTGAAGATTAGTAGAAGAATTATGCATATTACATGGATAGGAAATATATTGCGAACATTATCAAACAACTTCACAAGGCAAGCCTTAATTTGGAATCATAAAGTTAGAAAAAAAAGAGACAGATCAATGAAAAGAATTCTTCTGGAATTGGTGGTAAACATCAGAATAATAAATAACACTTAAAAACAAATGAAAGGAGAGCACAAGACAGAGTTAGTTGGTGAATCGAAGTCGGTCACTCATGATCCACAAGGTGTTATGAGTGTAAGTATGTATGCACATTATATGAATGACTGCAGTGTGAGATAATGAATGAAATGGCCATAACACTGATATCTCATGTTTTAATATAAAAGTTTATAAGCATAATAATAATCATCATAATAATAGTTTGATGTATGGCACTATTGAATCTATAACATTTTATTTAGTTTAACTTTGTTTATACGACCAAATGATACATAAGATCCAACGAAATATATCTATAAGTTGTATGGATTTCAAGAAGAGTAGCTACTTAACATCTGTCAGCAAGGTGTACCCGTGATTATGAGGGAACTGATGCTTCTTGACGAGTCCGATCCCTTAACACCCAGCTTCACAGTCAGAGACACTATCCGGGCTGCGACCGACCTCCTGTAGGAGTGAGATGTAATGAAAACTGATTGATCACTGGGTGGTTATCAATGTCATGTATGTTAGGTCCTTCTTAGTGCAGATCGAATCCTATCCTGCTTAGACCTGTAATATTTTTATAAGCCAATAATGATTCTTAAATATGTTATAAGAAATTACATTGGCTAGATATAAACTGTGTTATATTGCACTGAAGTGATAGTGAAACATGATTATGTATCAAGCAAACTGATAGTCATCAGTTCATCTTTTGTTTACTTGTTATGACCATGTATCAGCGATATATCACAATGAAATAAATACATCTACAAGAATAGAATCGGTAAATCTTTGTCGTATCATATCGGTTTACAACGGAATATACAAGTGATTTTCTGCAATAACTCAACAGGACAAGTTATAAAATATAAAAATATTATATCACATTTCTGTAATCTAATTATACAAATGCACGCTCAAATTGTATGAGAAATTCTAAAGGATTAGATATACTATAATTTCCTTCTAAATGAGTCTATCAGTTAAATAATAGAAAGGACGATATCCCGCAAAGTGAGAAGTATATAAATTTACGCGTATCTAGGTTGTTCAGTATTGCACATTATTAAAGTTAATGAAACGTAAATTAAAGCATCTCAATAAATACAAAATTGAAGATAAAACGAAATAAAGTCACATACAATAGTGTGCAAGTAATATTCATAGTAGAATAACAGTATTTGATCATGCAACTATTTACTGAATCCATGTTTTATAGCTTTGCTACAAAATGTTAGTTGGAAACGAAAACGTCAATATTTATCAATAGGACTGATAAGAAAGCCATTAGTTCAAAAAATAACTTGTATTTATAGGCAGAGATAATGGTGCCTAATATTGAAATCAAAGACGCGCGCTTCGTCTTATTTGAGGTTCGTCAGATGTTTTTGCCTGAATCTCAGAGTTGGTGTTCATTCTTGGACTCGAACCCAGTACCGTTCACTTCAAACGTTGTCGCATTAGCCACTTAGCTACTGAATCCAGATGGTCACTAGCTTATGCTTATAATGCTTCTGAATGAATGCAGTATCGAGGAAATTCGAACCGGATGTACATATGCCAACAAGAGATTGATCAGTTGCAGTTCTAAACATCAATACGAAAACTTCGGCAACCAATACAAAAATGAGCTTGTCTTTAGTTCAAAAATTCAATTTCAGACTATGAATACCTATAACTTTTGTTGCTTCAAATCATATAGTTACTATTCGTTTTTTTTGCAAATACAAACTTCATTATTGAGCTTATTAATCGTTAAATAACAAAATATCCACCAAAGATTCGATTACAAAGTTTCACTCAAATGAATTCCAAAAATCAAGTCTAATCTCATCTTTTTTTGGCTTAAAAATTATTATAATGTCTCGAGTGATATCTAGTCGTTATTAAAGATTATATAAAACCGATAGTTGTTAAACAA